TTTTGGTACATCGAGATTTCTTTTGATTTTCTCAGAACCCGGCCAAATTACCTGCGTTGGGTGGAACGAATCCGTATCCGCTCGCGCCCACGACGACGCCGCTGGTGTCAGCTGAGTTGGGTGGCGGCCCAGGTGGGAATAACACCGGACCTACGAAAAGAGTGCGTTAGACGCATTCTCACAATCTCCCTCGCGATAGTTGTACTCGTTCTCACGATTGTCCGTTACGATATCGAAAATGTTACACTTTATTCTATTTTTGTATTCTTTCCGCCGGAAAGTTTGTTTTCAAAGCCTCAGGGCAATTATTGGGAATTAAATCATGCGAAAAAAAAAGATATATCAGTATATAATCTTAGGACAATGAAAAATTTTCACAATTGTTCTAATAACACTATCAATCAACGATTTGCAATCGAATGGAATGGCATGCTTATTGTACACGTTCGCCTCCAATAAACTTGATAGTCTATAGAAATGTATTGAATGGTTCTTAACGTGGCAGACAGACGCGGCTCATGAGACGGCATTTGATCATTATCGACACTGTTTGACGAGATTGAATCGATTGGATCGCTTACGAAGATCATTAGTCTTTACGATCATTGACAGTGCAATAATGCGCGATTGGCCACATCACAGAATAAACAATTATTAACACGTCAAATACCGAGCAATTTTCAATTAACTTTGGAAAAATCTAACTAGACCTTTGCTTGATACTACAGTAAAAAATATTTTTTATGCACTCTATGAGTTTTATAAACATGATTACAAAATTGTTTGCTAAATATATTTCAGTGAAATATTTTACTATAATGCTCACGTCAATAATTGTTATATTTTTTCTTTTTACTTATTTTAATTTTATTCTAGTTTTTCGAAAACTAACGGAAGTTATTATCACTATTAATAGACCGAGATAGTTTTACCAAGAAGTAAGGAAAAATAAAAAAAAAAACTGCTTCGAGGGACTTTCTAAACGAAAATTACTTCCAAACTGCTTCCAATTTATCATGCGCCTTATATTATTTAATAAATCGCATCTAATAATAACAGTGTTACGTGGCATTAAAAGAAAGTTGCTTCTATGTACGGAAGAGTGGAAATCCTTTCTAACATGAGGAAGTCAGTTTCATCATGCCTGTATTATTAATCGATTTACCGACAATTGATACTATCTCTGAATATCTAGATTTATTAAGATAATTATTTTAATAGCTGCAACGCACACGTACAACAAACGCCAATTTCGCACTATTTCGCGATGAAGTAGTAACGGAACTAAGCACGCCTTCGGTGAGTAATGCTGAATATTTAACGGCAGAGAAACGAACGATTTATTTGACTGATATTCGACTTCTGATGTTATCCCAATATAATCGTAGGCTCTTTGTCAGCGGTAACCCCAGGCATAACAAAAATCATGGAAACCAAGATAAATCGTTGGAAGCGTTAATCATTTAGCGCTGCAGAATGATTCATTTCAAAATAATTATTGACATTTAGAAAAGTTACAACGATTTAAAATGCATTAGTTACATAAAAAATATTAATAGCAGAGATAGTAAAATAATACACGTTCTATCGGGGTTTCTCGCGTGTGAATTGAACGTTACTTCTTTTCTTTAAGTTAAAATGTGATTTATGTGGCTTAGGCCACTTGCTCAGCGTTGTTCCCGTCAGGCACATAGTACACCGCATTATTTATTGTACGTGAAGTTGAACTTGACACTCATTTCAATGCCGTTATGCGCATAATAACGTGCTCGAACGGATTGCAAGGATCGCATATCCTGCAACGCCGGCGCTATTTAAATAACACGTAGCTCATTCAGCTTTAAAAGTTGCATAGGAAGCATCAACATGATATCGAATTATTACGTTAAATATTTTTATGTTTATGAATGTGAAGTATGTCAGAAAGGATTTTTAGAATCGATAAATTCTATTCAAGTAGAAGATATTACGATTTAAACATGACAGTATATTTGAAAGCGATGCATCGTAAAAATTTTACCATAATTCACGATGTTCACGATACATAAACGCAAATCGCTTGCCTTTCCTTCCGTAACACGTGTTCAAGTAAATTTCTAGTTAGCCTCGTTGTTCCGGTAAAAGTTCTATACCGTCTAAGCAACATAGGTTCTGCATTAACTGCGAGACTACCTACGATTCGAACGTCGAAGCCCGTTCTTCTCAATCGCAATCAACCGTTTGATTATACGACAGCGCGCTCCAAACAACATTCCTTTTATATCTTGAATCTTTACGGCTGAATGAATATAACCGTGTCAAAAAAACAATCTTTGTTAATATTGTACAAAACATTTTATAAATAAACGCGTGAACTTTAACAATTAATTTTCTAAAATACTCCGATAGAATTATTTATTAATTTTTCCTTGTAAAATTTCCGACTAAAATCATTAAGATCATCGTGAAATAAAAATGAAAACATTGTAGATTTCTTATCTAAAACTTTCAATCGTTAGTTTACTGTAGTTATTAGATCGTTTCTTCATAAATATCTAGCAATACTATTTTTATCGTGAATTTATACACCGAAACGGAAGTTTGCAAGTTATTTGCGCGATTATAAGCGATATCTAAGTTTTGATTATTGTCTTGTTAGTGCAACAGACCGCCAAAGTTTTTTACATTAATGCGATAATATTGAATTGATCAGAAAGTACTTTAATATTTTTCATGAAAATCAAAAGCGAAAAGAAACTTTCCGATCAGACTAATACATGAAATATAGTTATTACCATAATTCTATCGTATTAGTTTGTTTTTTTTCGATAATATCGCAAACCAGAATTTGTTTCCGAGAAATCTTTTACACATATTGTGTGTAACTTTCAAACGATTGTGGCATTCTAACTAAGCAGTATTGGAATGTTTCCTATTATTTTGCAAACGAAACGAGGCCGTTTCTTCTCGGCGTATGCAAATAGAAGAAAACGTAATAACAAATTCTCGTGATTATATGATTCGCAGCTTCCTGATAATGTGGAGGATATAGAAGCAAGGAACATTTCCGAAGCATAAGCTTTAACGAATACTCCGAGAAGTCTAATAACAGCGTAAGAACGAGAAAAGAAAAGTGTAATTGTTTCTTAGCAAGCGCGATCGGGCTTAGTAATAATATGCCGACAAATTATCTTTGAATTATGCAAATTGAGGTAGTTGTAAAAGTGCAAAGGTCATCTTAGAAAATCAGAAGCGCCATCAAACAATTCACTATTTTATATCATCATAAAATACTAACAATATATTTCATTTAGAAACAATTATTAAAAATAAATATTGAACGCATCACGCTAATAATTTCCTGTTAATAAAAATAATTTTATACTTTATTACTGCTACAAGAACGCCGTATAATCTAAGTTATTGTTTGAACAACTTACCTCTATTAGATCTTGGATCCCTCATTACTGTGGTCTGAAAATAAGGGCTAAATCCCGCGAAGAAATGCCTGAAGTTCTGCGCCGAGACGCCCACCAGAATGGCCATGACAAATGCGACTAGAATTATCTGTAGTTAAAAAAATCACAATTCCACATTTCGCACGCATGAAGCACCTTGTAAAAATTGCATTCAATTTTCAGTTTCCACCAGAATGCTTTTCTCGGTAAATTTAAGATCAGATGTTTCATCGCAATTTTCCTTCTCATAGCACACAAATCTAAAAGAATTTCGTAAAAAAAGATAGGAAATCTGCGACAACAATAGATTTGATTACTCATGAAAAGTTGGAAGAATATCTCATTTAAATTTATAAGTTGTAGGATATCGTGTGAATTACTGCGAGAAAAAAAAACATAATGCACGCAGAAAGGAATAGAAAAAAATGTTAAAGTTATATTGTCAGATCTTTGATCTTTTTGAATTACATTTACGCAGCGCTGCAACCTTGTGAATCGCAAGTGTGACAACAGACGATTGAGAATGTGTCTTTCTCAATGAGCATTCACACGTCTATCATTGATTAACATAGATCTGAACGAAGGATAGATGTAAGAAGCTAAGAATGTAGTTCGCTCGTATCACATATAAATTGCCGGTTATTAATTATAAAGTTAGAGTGCTTTCTAATCACTTGGATTCTCATGAAGTAACAGCTGCCTGACGAAACGTGCGCTCGAATCACCACGGGGATAATTTCGCCCGTTACAACTGTCCGAAAAATGACCGTTATTACGATAATTATCGGTATTTTATATCAAATTCCGTTCGGCGGAGATCTGGTCTGTCAGGTGCTAAATAATGACACTCTATCGGCATAATGATACTAAGTATAGGCTTTAAATTAGCGAGATAGGCTTCAAGAGCGAATGCTGGGCACAGTCGTGCGTCACCGTTGAAAATTGCGCGCTGTAAAATGTCGGAATTATATCCCTTTGCCTCGCAATCTGACGACTGATCTCTAAAGTTATATCGACCGTGACGGAGGTGCGTGACAATTTTACGACTGATCGATCGCTGACCATGCTTCTCTAATATACAATTTCCATCACATACCGAGGAAATTTATGACTCTATAACATACTGCTCCGAACAGCTGCTACTTTGTAGAATATTTATGAACGGATATGTCTTTTCAACATTTTCATTTTGTTGAGAACGTATTTTTGCATTTGATGAAAAGTTAAAATTGATAAAAGATTTTGCTAAACAGCTTATTTTCTTAGCATAATTTTATCTAATTCTCACTAATAGCTCTATTTGCATTTTCAAGTGACATTATCTTCATCTGCATTAACTTCGCGATTCATTATGATCTGTCCTTTAAACATTTTTTACGAATCCTGGGTTTTATGGCTACTTCGCGTGTTCAGTCTCTATTTCTCGCGTCAGTCTATCGCTTGGTGGTGTCGCAAGAGAAAGACTGTCACAATCTAATTAATGAAGAGAATTACGGAGACGCGCAGTGGTGCAAACCGCTTCGAAAATCCGTTATCGCGTCATAAACTTCGTAATTCTTACGCAAACACGAGAAAGGTGGAGGAACGGGACGGATCTTCGGAGTACAATTTCTTTCTCCCCCGAGATCTTTCCTTACGTAAAGCCTGATGAAATCATTACAGTCGATTTACGATACTCTCAACGACAGTCGAGGCATCAAACGCGTCTGAGAGACTGTCGAAGGATGCCGTTGATCGAACACAATTACCGGGCTCTCGGTGTAATCGCGGATAAAGGTCGTCTCAATCGTCGGAACGATCGGCGCAATACGGAGTTTGCCGTGGCTCGTCTCTCCGCGCGGTTTCTGTATCAAAGGCAAGGTGAGCCGCCGCCACGGCCACTTTCCGTCTTTTTTTGCGCGGTTTCTCGCACCGGCGCAATGTCAAGGCAGACATCCGATAGTTCATCTTTAAAATTCATCATCGTGCGTGTGCGCGTACGTGTGCGCGCAAAGCGTTTCTCGATCGGAATTCGGTTGCAAGTTGCTCGTACGCGTACAACAGATACGCGTATCTGCATTGCGCCTAATGTTCGAATAGGTATTTCGAAATTGGCAATTTCTGTTACTGTTTTCGAATTGCTAGAATTCCTGAACCGCGGCGGCGCTTTTTGTGCAACCGTCGGTGCGGTATTAAAGCGAGGAAAGAAGCCGGGGAAAAAGAGAAATAACTTGATCACGATTTATTATCTATTTTCTAATAATGTATGCCGCGGATCGTTTCACGCTCGACATTTCGACGTGCAATTCCGGACGCCCGGATTATTATCTCACGACCGTAATGCAATAACGTTGTCACGAAGCGTAATTGATGGACTGAAAGTCGTGCAATGATGGAATGAGCTCGGGCGTTATGCGGCAGAAAGACCGTATCACATGAGAGCGAATACCAGAGTGGGAAGACAAGTTAGAAGTTGGTGCAAGCTCAGTCGCAGAACGGCAGATTGATAGTATTTTTAATTAATAATGACCATTAGAAAGAGCGTGAACACACGTTCTGTCAATGTTCTGCAGAATGATATGTACGCTTTCTTGTTTCTGATTCTTATCGCGCGTAGTCGCGTGTCTCAAGCATATTTCACTGCGCTAATTAACTGACTAACAGAATCACCTGTTGACCTGCGAAGCAAGCACGAAGAAAATATTGATAAACGCTAATCGACAAATTAGGAAGATTTACAAAGAATATGATTGAAGCATGTATAAAATCGGTTTGCCAATTTTTTTCCCAATTTTATCTCACACGAAGGAATATTCTATAAAGATGATAGATAAGATAAAAACAGATATCGTAATAACGGTTTATGTCTATTCATTGTAACACTTTAATTTTGTTCTTTGAAACGGTCTAATTTTAGTGATTATATCTTTCTCGGAAACTTTTCGGGGTCCCATCGTCGTCACGCAATAATAAAATTAAACATGAAAGTGGAGGCACGAAACAATGAAAGTGATGCATGGAGAAAAACTTGATTGCGCGGAATTATTACAAGCGCAACCTCGATTCAACGCTCATTATTGCCGCAGTTCCATCTCGGCTCACACAGCGAGAAGACAAGGTGAAGGCGAAGCGTGCTTTTATCTTCTTTAAGTTTCCCCACGTAATAAGATGACAGTGAAACCTTCGGAATGGTAGATCAGTCTCGCGATTACGACACAATAGTCAGTCATGCGGAAAGCCGATGACGACGGACATTCATGCAAAATGTTCGCAAAGCGGGAAAATTTGAAGGAAGATTTGACGGAAATTTTGAAAGAGCCACGCGTTGTATTATTCGCTCGTTGCTGTTCGCCATCGGTGGCATCGCCGCCTTCGTTTCTACGAGGTCGCCTACAAAGTGCGGCACAGATGTGCGTAAGACCGTGACGCGAGATCATGCCGGCCAGATATCTCCGCGAATGTGCAGATGATTGCGGGGAAAAACGCGCGCGGCGGCGATATCGAGCGCGCGCACGCGAAAAGACGGTTCCGGCCGGCGCGCGGCAATTTGTTTTACGGTCTCGCGAGTCGGTATCGCTGATCGACCGGCAAACCGATCGGCGCAACCACGCGCGTCGATTGTTCTCCGCTCAAAGGTCGCACCCGCGCGTTTGTTATCCGCGCCCCGGGGAAAAATGTCGCGTCAGAGAAATGCGGGCGGACGACGGCGCGGTTTCATTACGCGGGCGGTATTTCATTCCGCCGTTTTGTCCGCGTCTCGGCGATCTATCGTATCGGACGAAACGGCGCCGATGAATATTCATCATCTCATATATAATAACTCATACAAAGCGTACACACCATCGCCTCGATATTTATGGGATTAGAAATGACTTTTCGAAAGATATTGGCGCACATACCATATGCGCGTCGCGTGACACGTTGCGAGGATTTTACATGATAAATTAATCTTTTGTGTCTAACGTTATGAAAAATTTAGAGTCTTGATTAAAAACTGTTATTTTTTTATTTAAAAGTTTCAACGTTAAATGAAAACCATAATGATTTATGTTGCCGTTCGCGTGATAATATTATTTCGGCTTGTCCATAAATCACAACGAATGATAAGTCAATCAATTATAATTCAAATTATTCTGACAGCTGTTGATCCTATTAATTTATTTATACATCAATATGTCAATTATTTAATCATAGATCTTTATTTCACATAGAAAAACTTGATATAAAAATTCAAAACCGGTATAATAGACTTGATTTTACTAATGTATACTTGCATCTAATTTGCACAAGTGCCGCGTCGATCAGAATATAATGCGTGCTACATTATCTAACCGCGAGGAGATTTATCTTTCTTATTGATATGTTGAGAAGGAATCAGAGGTATCGTTGGTTGATCTGACAGATATTAAAATTGGCGATAACAGATACCTGTGTTATAATTTAATTATCCTAACACGATTGTTAAAAACAATAAAGCGTATTGTTACTTTCACTTGGGATTTGCTAAACCTGATTGAAGTTGGCAACCTTTTGTTCATTGTATTTACTCTTTCAATGGAACAGATGATTTCTCGCTCGTAGTCGTGCTCTAGAATCGATAATATCGGTATGTATTCCACGAGAGGAGAGAGACTCAATGTCTCTGATCTCCGACAATCGTATTATATATACAAATGCTTAGATAATACGGTCAGATATTGCTGTCTGTACATTAAAAGCGTCCGTACTTCCGCGTTTAGCGCCAAGTGAAACGATTCGCGCTCGACTTGTTCTCATATTTATGTGGGCGAACTTTTACGCTATTAATATTAATCGGCATAATTAAGTTGCGTCTCGAGAATACGTAAACATGCTTCGAGGAACCACGCTGATAAACAAAAGTCTAAGGTGGTCACTGACCGCTCGTAATTTACGAAGTTTTCGACGCACTTGTCATAATAGAAAAATTCTTCCTTACAATTTCTATTTTTCTACCAATCGGCAAATAATATTGCAATATTGAATGCATTATCAAGTATTTATAATGCTTAATTGATAATATAAAAATATTTTCAACGTCGATATAAATAAATAATAAATCAGTTTATCTTCAAAATTGCATCGCCGATGTCCGATGTCCTCTGGGCTTCC